TCTGTTGAAATGAAGAAGGTTGGTAGGGAAGGTGGGGTTAGCTTTTAGCAGGTGGAAACAGTTCATGAAGGGGCGGGGCTTCTGAACAGACATGGAGGCTGCAGGTTTCAGTAGAACGATGACATTTACTACGCCGTAACGTTAGAAACAGGACAGTCTGGTCCAGCTACTGTCTCCCCCTAGCAGAGACAGCTAGCTTATTTGTTAGCCTACAGCAGTTAGCAGCTGCTGCTATTCTTCAGAGAATTTCTAACAACATGTGGTCTTAGCTGCAAAGATGTAGAAATGTGTGTATAGATTTACTAGCAAGGGTTTCATGATCAGCACCTCTGTTCATAGTTGCTTATTCAGAAAATACAGATGTTTTGTTTGTTCATTTCCTTTTTGATAGAGAATGATTGGTGGAGATTGACCCTGGACCAGTTCTGGACCGGTTGTGGTCCCTGCCTGGACACCCAATGTGTCCTGATCTTGGCACTGATGACTGGTTTAATGGTTCATCCCATTCACCTGCCTATCTCCGCCCAGTTCCTCTTTACTGTTTATCTTATCCACCTGCTCCAGCCTCTATTTAAGCTGCTGGACTCCGGTCATCAGTGCCAGATTAATGCAGCAGTTGGTGAGAGTTCTCTAGCGTCTCCTGTGTTGTTCTCATTGCCTCATCCTGACTCGTGTCTGCCTTTAGGCCTCTGAGCCTGCCTGCTCCTGTTCTGACCTGTTTGCCTGACCTGTCTCCAGACTCCGTCTGGATTCTGTCTGCTTTTGACCCTGGATTCTGTCTCCTGACCCCGACTTGGATTTCCCTTCCGTACCTCTTTGTATTTCTGATCTTCTGGCCTGGACGTTTAGCTCATGGACACCTTGGCTTCACCTTCTGGAAGCTCCTGCTGTGGGAAATAATCTGGCTGGATTATACTGCTCATTATTCTGCTTATTGGACTTCCTGATTTATTCACTAAGTCTTTTTTTCTGCCCTGTCAGAAGCAGCAAATGGAAAATGTTGGTATTTAACAGCTTCTTTAATTGATCAGAGAAACCAGCTGATTTTCTCTGAGGATTTTAGCGTTCCTCCTGTGGCCATAAAGACCAGGCGCTCATCAGTCCATCATCTAGAGTCAGCAGGAAAAAAAGAGAAATCTCATTTATTCTTTCCTGGAGGTGTTGATCACACAGACGTCCAGCAGCTGGAGGGAAGATCGCAGCTCCGCTGCCGTTAAATGAAGTTTGGAGAGTGTGAGAGAAGAAGATTGATATGGATCGATGGAAGCATTTTCTCTGCACACCCCCAGCCTGCAGCCTCCCTCCTGTCAAAGGAGGACAGGAGATAAAAATAGGCCCCAGATCTGCATCAGGGGCCAGACTCCACAACCGGCCCCAAGGACTGGACCTCAGAGAACCAAGGAGATAAACACTGATGCTGTCAGGCAGTATGGGGGGAATTTTGGTCCATTATTACTGCGGCAAGAGAACATGTTCTGAAAATGGAAAATTTGAAGAAAGAAAAGCAGGGGGGGGGGGGGGGGGGGGGGTTGGCTCTTCAGGTTCAATTTGCATGTTTTCTAGAGAAAAACAAGGCTTTGTTTTTGGTCCACTCTATAAAACCTTAAACTAAACGCTATTTCTGACATTTTGAATTGAAAAAGCTTCCTGGATGGGAAGAGAAACGTCTTCACGGTTCCTCTGGGGAAAAAAAACCAACAAAGAAGCTTTTCAAACTGGAGACTCAGAGAAAAGCTGCAACTAGGAAAGTTTTATTCTGTTTGTTTATACAGGTAACACAGCCAGATTGGTCAAGATGGACTCTTCAGCAATCCCTCACACTAAGCATGCTTGTAGCGACAGTGGAGAGGAAAAACTCCCTTTGAACAGGAAGAAACCTCCAGCAGAACCAGGCTCAGTGAAATAAGTTCTTTGGAGCTCGGGCAGAAGGTGCTTTAACTTCAGATCTTGTTTTTATCAGTTGGTAAAACTAAAACCTTTTCTTTCATGGCAGCCCTCTGAAACAATCAACCAATCAATCAATCAATCAATCAATCAATCAATCTCTTTATTTAGACACAATTAAGGTCCATAAAACAGTTATTTATGCTATTATTTCATCTCTTACTGTAACGGACTGGTGAAAAACTGAGCTGCTGGTCTTTTAAATCCAGACTTTGCTTCATGGCTCCTGCCTCTGAGGAGCAGCAGATGTTGGAAACATCTCCAGCTTCCATGTGGAGAGGAAGGAGCTTCATCCCAAATAGACAGAACTTTAATGTTTAAAATGTTCCTTAAAGAGTTGCTGGACATGAGAGGAACGTCTGGGACCATCGGCACGGAGCTCTGATTGAACCGGAAGCTTCAGCCAACGCGTGGATTCCCGCAGTAATTCTGTTGGACGTTTGCCGGGCTCTCCGGCCCACACGCCTCCCTCAGAGAGCCTGATGTCATTAGAGCGTCGCCCGGAGGTGGACGTCCGTCTCCTCGGCCTCACAGCGCCTTTCTACTGACTCAGAGATCCTTTCAGTGCAGATCTGCAGCTGTAGATCTATGCAGAGCAACATGTTGCTGCTTTAAACCTTCCCTCTGACAGCCTCCCTCTTTATCAGCCCTTCCTCTGACTTTTAATGTTCTTCTGTTATAATTAGATGTTATTTTGGGATAAAATGAAACATGTTGAAATGTTCCTGCTGTTTGGATCATTTCTATAGAATCAGAGCAGCTGTGGATAAACAGCAGGGATGCTGCGTTACGCAACATAAGGGTTAATTATTTCCTTTTTCTGCAAGTCAGTGAATGTTTCATATAAAACCAGGTTTAAGATTTAAATTAAATGCTGCTAAACATTCCAGGCAAAGCAGCAGAACTAAGATTTAACAGAATTACTAATCAAAGAAAGAGGAATCAATAAAAGCAGAAATGTTTAAAGTAAACCCAAAGATTTATGAATATTTCTGTCCATTAAAGATCCCGTTTATGTGAAGAAAATCACTGAGTTTGATCTGAAATAGATGCAGACATTTCTGACACGCGTGGAAAGAATAAAGCCTAATTACCTTTGGAACAAAATAATAGTTAATTATATTCATGGAAAAAATCAAAATCATTGTAATAAAGAGAAACGGTCATTTGCTCCAATATAAGAAAAATAAGAACCTGATAATAACTTGGATGATGATAATAACCTTTATTCATTAAAAACTCTCAGAGCTAAATATGGTTTTCTGTTTCAGCAGAACAAACATTTTTTAATTAGCATTTTTATTTCTTACCTTAATAACTTTTTACCTTTTCAAAGCTGCTAAATGAATAAAATCCTTATAAAATTGGCTGATTTTCGTCTTTTAAAGTTGCATTAATTAAATGAGTAAAATAACGTTAACATTATTATCAGCAGAGATGTTTAACATCCGTGTGTTTCAGCTCATTAATAACCAGATATTCCTCCAGGTCGCCTTAAATAATGTAGTTACGTCACTAAGAGGGAAAATCAAAATGACTTTTATGAGAGAAATGGATGCCTTTAAAATTCTCTCCTTTGAATAGTTTGTCTGACGTGTTTAAAGCAGTCCGCTAAGATATTTATTAATGATTAATAAAAGATTAGAGTTTATCTGTAGTTTAGTTTTTATTGTATTTTAGTTGTTATAAAATACCAAAAAAAGAACGTAAAACGCATCCAGTTCTCTCAGAAAAGTCGTTAATAATTTATTTCTAACATTGTTTGATGATTTAAATAAGTACTTTTAGAACTATGATAACATTATTTATCGAAATGAGCTGACAGTACAGATCAGCTAAAGGCTAGCGCCAATATTGTTAGCATTAGCTCAGTTTAGCTTTAGCTGCTAGATAAGTTAACAAACTGCTGACTTATTTCTCCAATAATTAACTAATTTATTCTATTTGCAGCTAATCAGTTTTCTGTCAGCAGCTTTTAGAGACGAGTTGCTACAGCTAAAAAAAATGCATTTCAAAGATCAGCTAACTGCTAACAAAAGGCTAATTTAGTAAATTGAACATGTAGCCTACAGCTAAATACAGGAAAGAGGTTTCATGTTTACTTCCTGTGACGCTTTAAAATTGAGCTGTTGATAAATGAACTTTATCTTATCTTATTTTTAATTAGGCTAAACAAATGATCCTAAAAGGTTTTAATAAAATAAAGATTCTGAGATAAATCCTGAAATTTCCTGAAATAATTTTGCTAAATAACTTCAGATGGAGCCTAATATCAGTCCAGCAGCCATTTAGCGGCTAGCGGCGCGGTGTATTGAGTGAATATTATACACAACAAACATCTTATTAACAGTTAATATAATCCCTTTATTCTTCTCATAAAAAGAACAAATAATCAAACAATCTTTTAATAACCTCGATATTTTGAGCTTTATAAAAGTAGCTTAAAGGAAAAGTCCGTTCAGCAGGAATAATCAATGGATCAATATTTATATGTAAAACTAATATGTTTGCAGTGATTTCATGAATTTAGCCTTAATCAGTAAAAAATAAACAAATTTTCATTGCGATCACTGAGTCTGGGGGCGGCCATTTTTGCCCAAATATAGTAGCCCCTCCCTCCTGCCATCTTCCAGCAGTGACGTCACGGTGCGGTAAGCCTAGCGCCATTCTCCCCGCTTTCCAAGCTAAATCAATGGGAACTACTAGACACATCTGCAATCAACAACAATTATTGAAGATTTCCAGAGGACTTCACCATTGAAATTCACCAGAGCTATAGTGAAACTGACAATGCCCACGTGCATGGCAGCTGGATGCTGGAATACATCGGGTAAAAGTGGAAAAACCCGTAATATGTAGCCAACATTTGGAAGAAGAAAGTTTTCAAGATGACTTGGATAATAGCGCGTTGTGACAAACACCAGATACAGCACTGGGACTTGATCAACAGCCGATACCGCACCGTGACAATGTCACTAACCAGTAGGTGGCAGTAGTGTTCTTTGACAAACATGGATGCCTCCAGTAAAGCACATTCACATGAAAATGACTCTGAATTAAAAACACTGATCATTTATTGAACAGGATGGAATCATTTCAGATTTAAAGAACTTTCAGACGTTTGGTTTCTGAATCTGAGCGACTTTTCCTTTAGAACGGCAGCAGTTCTCTTTAAACCGCTGCTGTAGCTGTGGAGACATCAGAGCCATTCTGTTCTCCACCCAGCTTTATAAACACTGAAAACAATTAAAAAGCTTTTTTTTGGCATTCAGGTTGAAAATACATGAGATTAGAACAGAGGAAGAAAACAATAATAAAAACCAAAGACCTCCACCTGCAGGCTGACAGTTTAAGCTCCTTTAGGTGAGTAAACATTGCACCAATGATCCCCCCCGAGAACCAGGTGATCCACAGAACACCAACTAACACTCAGCGCCATCATGGCCGACGCATTCGAACAGTTCCCTCAGTGATGACCTGACGATGACGACATGGAAGCGTAGAAAATCGTAAACAGTGAACAAACAGCAACCTTCACACCATCCAGGTCCCAAAGCACAAACAGATCAGCATCATCGGCTGGGATCCAGACCGCATCATGCTGCGGCGCCTCCGCGCTGCCCCCTCTGCATGCCGAGGCAACGAGAAGCTGAAGGGACCCCAAAGCAGCCCCCCCCCAGCCGTCTCTACCTGGAACCTTTTTAATGGGAACTATGAAGAAAACCCGCCTCTGCTTCCTGGTTCTTTACGTCTGGCTCAGGAACTCTCCAGCTTGAGGAAACGCAGCGACAGCAGCCAGTGAGTCCAACAAGCATTTGTAAACCAGCTGATGCTAATGAAGGAGCCTCCTCCGGTCCTTCCTCCTCCGCCGAAGTGTTCGTGTCTTCTCTAGTTCCTGTTTGGGTTCCAAGTCCGCCATTATGGACTCTGAAGCTCTATGTTATCGAGCAGGTTGTCTTTCTTTGTAAACTGCAGACTTCTGATGGAGCGCAGCACCCCTCCCAAGCCATCGGAGGAAGCCTGAGCGGACGCAGCGTTCTCCTTGTGGATGTGCTCCCTCTGCATCTCCACCACATCTCGTTCGGTCATCACCACCTGCTTCAGGCCTCCTCCCGCCTCTCCCACCGGCAACGCTCCATTCGGTAGATAGGGGGTCTCCTCTTCTCCCTGGTCACCTGTCTCCTGCTGACCCAGATCAGAAGCAGAGGTGGGCCCTTCGCCGTTCACCGGCGGTTTCTCAGTGTAAGGGTCGCCAGGCTGTGAGGCGTCCATCTCCGTCTTCTCCAGGTCCTCGTACGAGGTCTTCTTCTTGGTCTCAAAGTATTTGACCACGCAGTAGATGATGGAGCCAACGGTGTTCACCACCACGCCGCCGATGAACAGCCGCGTGGGCGCCACGTCCTTGAACGCCAGCATGCCGACGGTGATGGTGGCAACACTCTTTACCACGCCCACAAAGCTGGTGGTGACTGCAGAGTTGATGTAGGTGCAGTGCAGAGTGGTGAAGTTCATGGCACAGCCGATGAAGATGCAGATGATGAAGATGACAGTGATATGTGGGTCCTTCCAGCCCTCGTATGACCACATGTGGAGAGCATCCATGGAGAGGACGGAGCAGATGAGCAGAACCTGAAGAAGGAGGAACAGATCAGAGAACAGAGGAGAAACTGGAGACAGACAGAGAATCCCTGCTCCATACCGGCGACGCCATGATGGCGATGGCGTACTGCGCAGTCAGAGGTCCATACTCGCTCTCCAGACTGGTTTTCTGGATCAGAACCAGGTAGGAGGCGTGGATGATTACTGCCAGGACTCCTGTGATGTAACCAAAGAGATCCCCTGTGAGGTCACCAGCACCTGGAGACAGTAAAGGAGAGCAGAGAGAAGATGGATGGATGGATGGATGGATGGATGGATGGATGGATGGATGGATGGATGGATGGATGGATGGATGGTTGGATGGTTGGATGGTTGGAGAGGATGGAGATGGGGGATGGGGTGGATGGATGGTTGGGTGGTTGGATATGGATGGGATGGGTGATGGATGGATGGAGGATGGATGGATTTTGGGTGGGTGGTGGATGGAGGAAGGGTTGGATGGATGGGATGGGGGGTTTGGATGGTTGGAAGGGGTGGATTTGATGATGGATGGAGGATGGATTTTAAGGGGAAGGTGATGGTGGGTTTTGAAAATTTAGGGTTGAAGGATGGGGGGGTGGGGGAGGAATTTGGGGAAGGAAGTTGGAGTATGAAATTATAGGATTGGGGGGTTGATTATGGATGGGATATATTATATATTTGGATAAAATATTTATATAAAAATATAAATATATTAAATATGGATTATATTATAGGATTTATTATAATTATATATTATTTATAGTAGGATATTTATTTTATTTTATTATATAATATATATATATGATTATATATGGAAATTTATTTATATTTTATTATATTTTATATTATATATAATATTTAAATTTATTGATTATTAAAATTATATATTTATGGGATATATATATGAATATTTGGGGGGGATTGATTAAAATAATTATTATTGAATATATTATATGGGATATATATATAATATATTTTATGGTTATATATATATTATATATAAATATTATTAATTTAATTTTATTAAAAGTATTATTATATAATATAATTTTTTTTTTTTTAAAATATATTTAAAATGGATATGATATATATTATATTATTATTAAATATATATTAATATATTATTTATATATTATTATAGTTTAATTTTTAATATTCATTGGGAAATTTTTTGGATTTATATTATTTATATTTTAATAAATTAGTATAAATTTAAATAAAGGTGGATTATTTTAAAAATTTATGGAATATAGGGGGGGGGGGGTTTTTTTTTTTTTTTTTATTATATAATATATATAAATATTTTATAAAATATTTTAAATGGATATATATATATATGAATTATTTTAAATTAAGGGATATATTATTTAAATATATATATTATATAAAAATTTGAAATATTTTAATTTAATTGGATTAAATTAGTATATATTTATTTATTATGGATTATTTATAAATATTTTATATATATATTTTAATATGGAATGATTTATATTATATATTTATGGAATTATTTTTTATAAATTATATTTATTATATATTTATAGGTAAATTATATTTAAAATTGGAAAAAATGGTTTTTTAGGGAATATTATAAAATAATTTATTTAATATTTTAAATTATTATAAAAGTTTTTAATTTATTAAATTTTAATTTAGGAAAATTTTTATTTAAATTAAATGGGAAAAATAATATTTTTTTTAATTATAATTTTGTAAATGAAAATTTAAAATAGGGGAATTTTAAGTTTTGGAAAGGATATTATTATTTAATATTATTAAATTAAAATAAAATTTAATTTATATGATATTAATTTATTTATTTGGATTAATTTTAAAAATTATTTATATTTTATTTTTAAGGAAAATTTAATTCAATGAAATTATTAAAGGGGGGAAATTATGATTTATTTATAAATTATATAATTATTAAAAATTAATTAATTATTATAATTTATTTATGAATTATATTTATTATTATAGGGTTTTTATTAATTTATTTTTTAAAATTTTATTATATTAAATTTTATTAATTATTTTTATTAATATTTAAATATAAAATTATATTATTATATTAATTTATTATTATTTTATTATATTAATTATTATATTTCATATTTTAAAATTTTATTAATTATCATTATTATTTATTATATTATATTAATTATTATTATTATTAAATTATATTGAATATTATTTATAATTATATTAAATTATATTATTTATTTTTTATTCTTATTATATTAAATTATATTATATTAAATTAATTTTATTATTTTAATTTATTATTATTATATTTTTAATTAATTATATATATTAATTATATTATTTTATTATTATATTAATTTTTATTATTATATTATTATATTAATTTATTATAGGGATTATATTAAAAATATATTTAATTATATTAAATTAATTTTATTAATTTAATTAATTTTTATAATATTAAATTAATATTATTATTATTAAGATTATTATATTAAAATATTATATTAAATTTTATATTAATTATTATATTAAATTTTTAGATATTATATTAATATATTATTAATTAATTATATTATTATATTATTATATTCTATTAATAATTAATTATATTATTATTTTGATTATTATTTTATATTAAATTATTTATATTAATGATATTTATTATTATTTATTAAATTAAAATTAATTATATATATTAATATATTATATTTTTATTTATATTAATTATTTATTATTTTATTATATTATTATTATTATTTTTATTATATTTTAAATTATTTAAAATAATATTTTATTTTATATTTAATTATATTATTTTATTATATTAATTTATTATTATATTTTAAATTATATTAATTATTTTATTATTATTATATTTATTTTAATTATTTTAATTTATGATTTATATTTAAAAATTAATTATATAATTATTTATTAAAATTTATATTAAAATAAAATTATATTATTATTATTCATTATTATTTTATATTAATTATATTATATTAATTATATTTATTATTCAATATTCAAATTATATTAATTATATTATTAAATTATTATTTATTATTATTATAATTATATTAATTATATATTTATTTATATTATTTATATTAATTATATTATATAAATATTTTATTATTTATTTTATTATATATTAATTAAAATTATATTAAAATTATTTATTTATTATTTTCTTATTAAATTTATTTAATTATATTCATATTAAGTATATTATTTTAAATTAATTATATTTAATTTATATTCATTATTCATTATATAATTTTAATTATATTTATATTAAATTATATTTTATTATATATTATTATAAAATTATTTTATATTAATTATATTTTATTAAAATATTATTTATTATTATATTATTTATTATCATTATTATTATATTATTATATATATTATTATTTATATTTAAACAATTAATTAATTAAATATTATATTATTATTAAATTATTAAATTAATTATTATTAATTATATATTTATTATTATTAATTATATTATTATTATATTTATTATTAATTAAATTAATTATATTTTTTAAATTTATATATTAAATTATTATTATATTATTATTTAAAATTTATTATTATTATTAATTTATATTTCATTATTTTTTATATTTAATATATTAATTATATATTTTTAATTATCATTATTATATTATATTATATTTATTATTATTTATTATTATTATATTTTAATTTATTATTATTTATATTATTATTTAAAATTATATTTAATTATTATATTTATTTTTTATATTATTATTATTATTATTATTAATTATATTTTTTAATAATTTTATTATTATCATTATTATATATTATATTATTATTTTATATAAATTTATTATTTTCTCCCTTCCCCCATTAAAACCACTTCCCCCAAACAAATTTAATTTCACAAACAACATTAACTTAACACATTAACACTTCATTCATTACCCCAAACACATTATATCATCCCAACACCATCATTCCCCAAATTCACCACACATAATTCACACCCCTCACAAATCTTAATTTTAAAACTCATTCATTATTATCACATTCATTTTCTCTCTCATAATTTTCCTTCTTCATTCATCATTTATTTTTCACAAATTTTTCATTTAAAAAACCTTCATTCACACATTAATTCCCCATTATTCAATTATTTTTCTCTTATTTATAATTATCCTTAACCCCCTTCATTCCACATTTTTCTCAAAACACATTTATTAAACCCTTCACAATTCCCCTTCTTATTTTAACCCATTATTCATTAAATTTCACATTATAACTTATTTTAATTCCCATTTAATTCTTATTATTTTATTCAAACACACATTTTCATCCTCATTCATATTTCATTCATTCCTTCATCACACATTTTTCATCATTCTTCATTCATTATTCTTTTATTTTCTTTTTTAATTCCATAATTCATTTTCATCCATCCCTTCATTTAAACCTTCAAAACACAACATTATTAATCACATTCATTCATTCATTCCCCTTATTATTACCTAAACACATCCCTCCCTTCACATTCTTACACTTCTTCATCATCCAACCATTCATTAATTCATCCATTTTCATTCATTCTCTTCACATTCTTCATTCTCTTAATTTCCTCATTAAATTCATTTTACATCAAATTTTTCACAACTCATTAACATCATTTCTTTTTAAATTTCACATTCATTCCCCTTCACACATCTTCATTTCATCATTCTTCTTATCATTCTTATTCATTTATTCATCAATTAAAATTCTCATTAAAATTATTATATAAATTCATTTTTCCCCCCCCCCATCCCCATTTTTCATTTTTTTCTTCATTATTAATTCCCCCTCATTCATTCATTCACATTTTTTTCTCCTTCTTATTTTAAAATTCAAAACCAACTGCTCTGATGCATGCTGGGTAAAGAGGGAGGGGCCAGAATAACAACTGGAATCTTTGTCCATTCTCGGTCTGCTGTTCTGGTGAATTGGAACAGCACTAGTGCTGAGGCTGATGGTGTTTCACGAGGACGCACAAGTACACATAGTGAGAAACAGTCAGAGACGTTTCACAGCGACCAGAACCACCGCTGACCGCCATGATCCTAAGCACAGCAAAGCTGCCCTGAACGGCCTAGTCAAAGTTCCTCCAGACTGACCCATTAGTTGGATTGAACACTAGATGGCAGCAGTCGCTCCATCGTGCCGGGTCAGAACCGGACCGGCTGTGGGGGAGGGGCAGCGGTTCTGGTATCGGCCTGGACACAGACCAAGAGCTGAACCTCATCTAGACGGTTCTGGAACCGACCTCCTGAACCGGGTCTGTTCCCATAGTAACCGCTGCTCCGTCTGCTCTCTGCAGAGCAACGATTGAACATGTCAGAGACAGAGCGGTTCTGACCCGTAAAGTCCGTTCTGCACTTAGAGGAGTAAAGGACCGAGTCCCGCTAGCTTCTCCACATCCAACATGTGTTCTGGACCAGAAACTGGGACCAAGTGGAACCAGAACGCAGTCTGTGCTCTGAGATCCCCACAGAAACATGAAGCTGACCCGTCGGGTCAGAACCCTTCAGAACAGAGCAGCTCTGGGTTCTCTGGACCTCCCGGGGAGCCCGGAGCTGCAGGTTTCCTTACCTTGGAGAGCTGCACGCTGAATGGCGGGATCTGGACCTTCCCCAGCCGCCTCAGGGTCTCCAGGGTGAGCGCCGCCGTGACGCTGGTCAGGAACTGGATCAGCGTCAGGAAGCCAAAGTGGTAGTTGCTGATGAGGAACTTTAGCAGGATGTTGAGGGAACCGGAGAAAACGCCGTGCGCCACGGCCACAGAGATCCCCAGCAGGCGGCTCTTAAACACGTCCATGTTTCTACGCCTGGCAGCTGGATGGAGGGAACGGCTCAGAGCGGCGGCACACAAGGAATCCAGGAACTCTGCAGCTGGAGATCAGCAGGGACTTTTCCTCTCTGCGCTCCGGCTCCGCTCTGAGGATCCCTGCTAAGGAGGGGGATGCAGGGGAGGGGGGAGGAGGAGCGAGAGGGAGGAGAGTCCCATGGAGGGAGAGCTGCAGCCACTCAGGAGATTTTACCGCAGCAGAGAGGAGGGGGCTGCAGAGGGGGAGGAGCGCTCAGGGTCAACCTGTTCACAGGAGGAAGGAGACCTGGAGCTTCTCCTCCAACCTTCATCTTCTTTAAACAAACGGCTGAAGTTTCACATCTGGACTCATTTAGGGATTCCTGATCCGGATTAAACCTCCGGCTTCATGTTCTGATCCAGTTTGACTGATTTACCCACAAACACTCCTTAGATCCGCTTTCCTCTAAAACCGTTTAACCAAAGAAAATCAACTGCCAGGAAATATGGCCGCTCTGTAGGAGCTGCATGAAAACGCTTCAAAATGCAAAAACAGGAAATCATTTAAAAAACATCAGGAAAACATCTTTAATTTCACTAAACTAAACGGAAATAAAACATCTCAATTCTGATAATTCAGTAAATTAATACATTTAATGAAGGCTCATCCGTTTGAATTTGAACTTTTTAATCTAGAAATAAATAAAATGATTAATTAAAAGATAAAGTCAGTTGTTTAAAAATGGTTTGAATAAGAAATAAATAACTAGATGACAGATTATATAAACTGACCAAAATTAATAAAACATTAAAAATAAAGACCAATGTGAGCTGAAAAGGAATTAAAAAAACTGAATTTATATAAAGTTAGAAAAAATAAAATCAGATGGAAAATTACATTAAAATGAACAAATTATATGAACAGAAAAAAACAGGAATGAGATAAACTTTTTTAAATACAATAACTTTGGATATTCTATTTTTTTTTTATTCTATTTTACAAGGATTTGTTTTTACAGACTGTATTTTTAAATCTAATATTTATTAATTTACTAATAATTCAAAACTCTCTTAACAGATTTGATATTTTCTATTTGTTTTTGCTGCGTTTCACATTCTCCTCACTTCCTGTCCAATCAAACGCTAGCCCAACATCCAGCAGACCAATAGAAACGAGCCTTTGCTCCTCTCTGCAGAGGAAGCCCCGCCCCCAGCAGGGAAGAGAACCTGATCTGGAAAAAGGAGTTTGAAAAGAATTCAGTTTGTAAAATTCAATCTGAAATACAGAAATAAAAAAAATCTGTCAAAACTTTTTGGGAAATAAAATCTGTAAAAAAAAAATAGATAAAATAAAACAACAAAAAAATACATTTTAACAAAAAAGTGACTCTGTAACCTTTTATTGATGAACTTTTTTAGTTCTGATTGCATTTTTCTCAATTTTTCTTTTACAAAATATTTTCTTTGCTTGGAACAATAATGGAACAAAATTTACTCCATACTTGGGAAGCTTTCCATCCGGGATGTTTTCCTCTGACGGCAGACAGCGGCTCGGACACAGCAAGGCCAGCTAATAATGTTTAATAAATAAAAATAGAACCAGGGGACGAGCATAGAGAGCTTAAACAGAGCAGAACACAGGAAACAGAATCTATTCAGAGAAAAATTTAAACAAACACAAAGAAGTAGCAGAAATAATCACTGAAGACAAAAATAACTAGAAATAAGAAAGAGAACAAAAACCAAACCAGTTCAGCAAACCCAGCAAAGCAGGTTAATATGGCAAAACCCAAACAGAACTAATAGAAGGTCTACGGCAAAACCCAAAGATGAAATGAAGTAATCAGGAGATAAAATGAATATGAAATTAAATCTAAATCAGTTGAAACCAAAAACTTGATTCCTTGTGGTTCTGAAATCATTCTGATCGTTTAGATTTTTGACATTAATTTATCAACCATCAAACATCTCCTTCATGATTTTTACTCTGGACTCAGAGATGGTCCAAAAAGTTCTGGTTCTGATGGTTCTGATGGAGAAGACCTCTGACTGCGCCTCATGACCCGCCTCAAGCTAACTGGAACGCTTGATGACAGGAAGCAGCAGATCAGCCTCTGTCCTCCTGACCGCCGTGGAAACGAGCTGCAGAGCCGCCGCCTGTTAGCCGCTAATTAACCCGGCAGCTGCAGGCCGTCACCCCCCCCCCACAGGTGAGCAGAGCGCCGTTCGCTTTAATTAACGGATCAGGCCAGTCAGACTAGCTGGTTCTGCTGGGCTACACATTTGCCTGCAGTCCACCAGAACCAGTCAGAGGACATGGTTCTGACTGGTTCTGCTGGTTCTGTGGGTTTCACTCAGACTTTCCTGTGAGTTTAAACTCATCATCTTCAGACCATCTGAGTGGAAAAAACAAAGCAGAAACCCGATGGTACCGGATGAGTCTGTGTCAGAATCTGATGGTTTTAGGAGAATAAAGAGCAGAACCAGTGGAGCTGCGTCTCCGTTCTAATGTCAGCCATCCGTTCCATCCCGTCATTTAGAGTCGATTCTTTTCTGATCGTTTTTTAGCCGTTATCTGAACGACATCACCGCCCTCTGCTACAGATCAGGACGCATATTTACAACCAGCAGCAAATCAATAAACAAACAGCTGTAAGGCACGCAGGAAGAGGTGTGATGCTGCGGGCCTGTCTGGCTCCATCTTCCAAAGGTTCTGGGTCCATGTTAGTGAGGAAGACTACGGGCCGTCATGAGGAGAACCAACAGCTTTAAGTCAGAGGTTGTGGTTCTGAAACCTCCCTGGCGGGTTGGGAATCGGTTCTTCCCAGACTGGAGTCCAGATCCAGCCAGCAGAACCCGCCGGCGCCGCCGTGTCAGGGTTCTGCTGGGCGGGTCCCCGCAGTGAGGCAGGCAGGGGAGTAGATCTTCACCGTCTCGTCCCAGGAGCAGTCCAGAACCTGCAGAACCAAACAGCAGCCGTTACTGATCCGCTCTGAACCCAACAGAGCCAAGATGGAGGTCAGGAGCTGAGGAGGAACAACGGCGGAACCGATCGGGTTCTCTACGCTCCGCAGCAACAAAGAGCTGAATGACCGGAACCGATCGGGCTGAACCGGCACATGATAGTCAGGCAGAACCTCCAGCGGGACATCAGCGATCCAGAACCATCAACCCACTTCAGCTTATTTAAGGTCCTGCTTTAGGAAAACAGAGGAGTTCTGTAGAACCACAGCGGATCCAGAAGGTCCGAAGGCCTGAGAGTCGCCGACGGGTCCATGGTGGGAGGTTCTGCTACCGGACCGGGATGGGCTCGCCGTTAATCACAGAATCTGCTTTCCAGGGTCCAAAACGTTTCTCTATCAACTTGGCGTGGCCTAGTCAAAGTCCGGTCCAATCGGTACCAGGAGCCTCTGATAAGAGGAACCGGGGGTTCTGGGTCTGGGGGAGCTGTGTCAGCTGAGGGCTCAGGTCCACCGGGTTCATGCAGAGCGTTTTATTTCTAGCCGGTTCCCTGCAGGCTGAACGCTGTGCTCTCTAAACAGATACCAGACCAGCTGAGCGACGGCGCCCGGAGCTACGGCCGCGGTCTGATCTTATCGGGTTATTGTTCTGCTCACAGTTCCCATCAAACGGACCCAATGTTCTGCATGGACGCAGACAGCCTGGTGATCTTAGCTCCAGCTGATGACAGGCTGCAGGTCTCCTCAAATAGGGCCTCTTCAGCCCGCCTTCATTACCAGGTTAATGGACCTACGGCCTTTCATCACGGATCAGAATCAGACCTTTAATCATGCTGCATCTGATGGGCGCCGCTTCAAACGCGGCGTCCTCGGCTTTATTGCCTCTCAGGCTGCGGGGCCGTCTGCTCGGAGTTGGTTTCATTTGATTCTTAGTGACTGTGGAGCTTCTGGAAGCTGGAGGAGCATCAGAAGAGAAGAAGAAGCAGAGCTGCACCTTTAACCACGTAACCATGGAAACGGGCTAGTTTTACTACCACAGGACTTTGGTCAGGATTGTTTGATTTAAGGTGCTTAAAGAAGAAAGGTCAGGATGTGACTATCGCCTGGAAAACACTGTTTGCAGGGCGTGGCTATCACCTGAGATGCTTAATGGGAATAAAGCTTCTATGTTCTTCTACGTAGAACAAACAGTAGCAGCCAATCAAAATGGTCCTTCCCAGTTAGAAGCCCCTCCCACTTCTACTCTGACTCCACCCTTTCACTGAATTACAGGGTCCAGCCAAGGACCAGCCAAGGACCAGCCAAGGACCAGCCAAGGACCAACCAAGGACCAACCAAGGACCAACCAAGGACCAGCCAAGGACCAGCCAAGGACCAACCAAGGACCAGCCAAGGACCAACCAAGGACCAACCAATGACCAGCCAAGGACCAGCCAAGGAGCAGCCAAGGACCAGCCAAGGACCAGCCAAGGACTAACCAAAGACCAACCATGGAAAATGGGGACCAATCAAGGAGCAGCCAAGGACCTGCCAAGGACCAACCAAGGACCAGCCAAGGACCAGCCAAGGAAAGTGGGGACCAACCAAGGACCAGCAAAGGACCAACCATGGTCACACCGAGGACCAGCCAAGGACAAGAGATGGACTAGCCAAGGACCAACCAAGGACCGGCCGTGGACCAATCAAGGAGCAGCCAAGAGCAAGGTAAGGACCAACCAAGGAAAAACCAAGGACCAGCGATGGACTAGCCAAGGAGCAGCCAAGGACCAACAAAGAACCAGCCAAGGACTAGCCAAGGACCAACCAAGGGCCAGCCAGGAACGAGCCAAGGACCAAACAAGGACCAGCCCAGGACTGGCCGTGGACCAGCGAAGGGCAACCCAATGACCAACCAAGGAAAAACAAGGACCAGCGATGGACTAGCCAAGGATCAGCCAAGGACTGACAAAGAACCAGCCAAGGATCAAGCAAGGATCTGCCAAGGACCAGCTAAGGACCAACCAAGGACCAGCCACGAACCATCCAAGGATCAGCCAAGGACCAACCAAGGACCAACCAAGGACCAGCCAAGGACCAGCCAAGGACCAGCCAAGGACCAGCCAAGGACCAACCAAAGAAACTTTTTTCTGCTACTGGAGACTTTGGAGACAACATCTAAAAGCAGCGAACTCTGCTCTCCAGAGCGAGTAGATTGGTAACCCCGCCTCCTGCTCTCCTCTATCTTGTCTGCTGTCATGATTCATGCAGCTATTATTTCATCCAAATGAAAAATGGAGAACAGATAAGCAGATCATGGCTTGTCTACAGTGAAAAGAAGGACTGGGTTATTTACTTTGGCCTTTTTGGAAACACAGGAAGGAGCAATCAGCTAAGTGAGCTTAGTGCTTGGAAAAAATCTTTCATTCCTTTAGAGACAGCATGAAAAGTCAGCTGAGTACAAAACATAGAGAGGAAAACAAGAAGAAAAGGGACAAGAAGAGAGGGACACAACCTAGAACAGATAATGGATGTCTATTCTATTAACATTTCTCTATCTGGAGAATGGGGCTGTTTTATGTCTTCTCTATTCAGAGGGCCCCCTGCCTGTCTTTGCCTAGGGCCCCACATTTCCTAAATCCGCCCCTGTATAGTTTAAATCTGGAGGATTCTGATGAAGCTTCCATCAACATCTATTTCCTCATTTTGATCGACATGATATCATTTCTATCTTCGATGGTGTTTATAGAACTCTGCCATCAGTTGGTGATAAATGCTGCAATCATCGACTGCTGTGCTGTGAAATTATAAACGTTATATTGCCCTGTGGGCGGGGGGTGGGGGTGGGTCACATTAGTCTGATGTTTGTATCGATGATGTTTTTTCGCTTTACTGCTGACGGAGGCGTCGATGGTGCAGCTGATCCTGGATCTGAGGAAAATGTTCTTCCAAGCAGAGCTGCTGTTAAATATCAGGACCATTCCTGCTCCCATCCAGAGCCCAGCACTCCCAGCACTCCCAGTCAGATCAGTCTTGGTTTATACGCCATAAAACAGACTCTAACTAGCAACCATAAACCAAACACTGGGGGCTTTTTGAATTGCCAGCAGGCAGGAGTCGGACGCCTTTAATGACGACCTGAATCAGCTGATCAGATGCACATTCAAAGACCTCCAGGAAGCCTAAACCGGCCCCGGAAAACTTTGAACCAATTGAACCTGAGAGGTTTGATATCTGGATCTTTGAGTCTGGATTAATTCAAACGGATGAATTAGATTTTGCTGATCATGTCCTCCAATCAGAGTTAACGATGTCAGAGGAAGCAGAGCGTCCAGCGGTGACTCAGCCACAGGGAGAGGAATGCCCTCCTTTAATTAACTTTACCAGGCGGTGATAAAACGAAGGCTGCCAGGACTGCAGCAAAGCCGTTCCTGGAGGAGCGGGGGGGTTCAAAGCCAGACGCGTTTCATGTCTGCTGACGATTAACAGAAGGTGGAGAAAAAAAACACTAATTAAAACACTAATCGTCCAGAATGTTCTGTCAGAACAATTAGCAGCTTTCTGCTTTAAACTCCAGAACCACAGAAGCTAATTCTAGATAAGTCCATTTTTCTTGAATTGAGGACGTAAGTGAAACTGTTTGCCAATGGAACAAGACAATATTTAAAATAAGAGTCTATATTATATAAGTACCTTATTTTCAGAGTAAAAATCCTCATTTCATTGGCAGATCATCTTATTTTCCAACTCAAATTAAGGGGAAATACACTTAAATTAAGACATTTTGACTTATTTCTGGATCGTTTTTGCAGTTTTGTGTTCACGGGGGGGGTCAAAAACACGTAGACGTAGAAATCTAGATGCTGGATCAGACTCCGGTTGGTTTGATGCTCTGGATGTTTATCTGCTCTGTAGCGTCCAGCTAGAGAGCAGCTAGCTTTATTTACTTTATAAGTTGGAAAAATAGTTTGAACAGGTTTCTAAGTGAGAAAGTCCACCTCCAAACATCCTCTGTTCATCCGTTCATCAGGATTATAATCCCACTATAATCTGCAGGTCTTGTTGGGAGCTCCAGACCTCCAGCATCCCGCCTGGAGGCGGCGCTGGGAATCCCCCGCTGGAAGCTCTCTGCTGCGGCCAGCCTGTGGGGGATTTTCTGCCGCCCATATTTGGCGATCCTCATCTTCTCTGCTCCAAAGAAGTCAGCCTGGTGTTAGAGAGGATCATCCCCTCCCTAACCTGGACCCCAACATCTGGATCTACCGACCGCAGGGATCTTCATCATCTTCCTCATCTTCCAGTGACTTGGAGCTGAACTCGGCTGGTTTTCCTTCCTTGGACCGAAGTGGAAAAGTTCAGACTCTGACAGCGTGAAACGGTTTGACAGCAGTGACCTTTCCGACTCGCCGCCTCCCAGCTCCGTCACGTCTGACTGCAGCCGGGCGTCGGCCCCGGTTACTGTGCGTGGGCTCGCTCTGAGGGTCCGCATGCAGACAGAGTGATGGATGACCCTAATTCAGGGAACATCAGGAAACTTCCTGATTATCCCAAACATCTGAACATCTTTTTCGGATGTGACTGGCTTTCTTTCCAAGTCTGAAGACGTTTTTCTTCCATCCAGGAAGCTTTTTCTATTTAAAGTGTCAGAATAGCGTTTAGTTCCAGGTTTTATAGAGCGGACCAAAACAAAGTAATGACTTAGAAAACATGCAGACTGAACCAGAAGAACAGGTCCGCCCCTAAAGAAGACGCAGTCGTTGGCTTCAAGAACACTATTTCTGACATTCTGAATTAAAAAAGCTTCCTGGATGGAAAGAGAAACGTCTCCAAACAAAGTCCAGTGAATTGTTGTAGAACTTTTTTTTGGAGTGACTGTCGATCTTCACCAGCAGATGTCAAACAGCTTTGTCCATCCATCCTCAGGTCAGTCCTGATGGACGAAAACTGCTCCAAGAAATGGTTTTCAATCTGACAGACGTCTCATTTTCAGGGAGGGGGTCAGAAATAGGTTTTCAAGATGATGCAAAGTTAAAATTGACACTGTTACCATTAGTTATAAAACTAAGAAATTGAAGTCTAATGTTCACCTAAAGCAGCAGAGGCAGCAGGTTAACAATGAGAGCAGCTGATCTGGGAGCTGGCAGGGAGTCAGACGCAGCACTGCTGATGCAGAGCGCTATGATCACTCCTCTGAAACAGTTTATTAACGCCTAAATTACCTTCAAATGTAGAAACCTGCCGGCAGAATATGTTGGCTTTTATTATCCTGCTGCCTGCAGTTTGTAGCACAGACCTGAAAAACGCTAACATCTACTTCCAGCCGCCACCAACAGGAGGGGAAAACCCTGGAGAGGCGAGCGGGCCTGAGGCAGCTGCTGCTGGGGATTCCCAGTGACAGCGCAGCGCCGGTACGTGGGGGTCTGAGCGGCTCCCACAGAGAAATAATCTTTGAAGACAGGATGGTAATCTGGATGAACTGACTGCACAGACCATGTTTTCAGGAGGACACTGTAGAGGCTTGAAGACTTTTTTATTTAAGCAAGCCTATTCTGCCTCCACATGATTTTTATGTTGTTTATTTTTATCTTTGATTTTATTGACCACATGATTTTTATGGTTGATTTTTATCTTTGATTTTATTTGCACTGTGTAGCACTTTGAGATTTTTCTTAATGAAAAGTGCGGTACAAAATTGGATTTATTATTATTATTATTATTACTTTCTCACTTCAACATAGATTCTAACTACTTTCTACCCGCTGATCACAGCTAATATAGCTGCCATTGTTCCAGGCACAGAAAGGATAGGGTAGCTCCGCCCACCGCGCATCAGACCCACTTTACCGCCGCGCAGCAGGAGCACCAGAACTAAACTTGTACAAGCATCAGAAATGAAGCAGCACGCGCGTTTTAGCTGCTCCTGCTGCCTGCAGTCTAATGCTGCGTTCACACCGGACGCAGCAAAAGCAGCAAAATCGCGTCTGCTGCTTCATTTTTGCTGATTGTACCAGTTAGTTCTGACGCGCGGCTGAAGCAGCTTTGCTGCTCTGGCTGCGCGGTGCAAAAGTGTGTCTGACGCGCGTTGGGCGGAGCTTCACTATCCTTTCTCTGCCTTGCAGCTATATTTGCTGTGATCAGTGGGAATAAAGTAGTTTTAATATGTTTTTAAGTGAGAAAATACACCTGAAAACTTAATCAGTGCCGTCAGTTCATTCAGATTATTATCCTGCCTTCCAATATTATTTCTGTCGGAGCCGCTCAGACCCCCACATACCGACGGTGCGCCGACAGAAGGAATCCCTTCAACAGTAGCCTCTAGCCGGGTCGCCTCCTCGCGGTTTACCGCGGCGGCTGGTAGGTGTTTTTCATCTAAATAATCCGATCTGCAGGCACCAGATTAATAAAAGCCAACATATTCTGCCGGCAGATGTTTATATTTTAAGTTAATTATGCGTTAATAAACAGTTTAAGAGGAGTAATCAGAGCGCTCTGATCATCAGCGCTGTGTCTCTCTCCCTGTCAGCTCCCAGATCAGCTTCTCTGATTGGTTGACGCGGCGCGTCGAGCAGCAAAAATTCAATTTTTCCATCTCGAGCAGCAGCGCGTTTGCGGCGCGTCACGCGCGTCAGATGCTTAAACGCGCCCGACGCGCTGCTTCAGCTGCTCAGACGCGCTGCGCCTGCTGCTCTAAACGCACCGCGGGACCTTTTGCTGCGCCTTGACGCACGTCAACCATTGACTTTGCATGTAAACTCGCTGCTTCTGTCCCGCCAGCTGCCCCCGGTGTGAACGCAGCATGAACGCATCATTAGGAAGTTATCATCCAGAATTTTAGAAAAACTTCCTTTATTAGGGTAGAGCAGTAAAGCTTCTATGCTTAAAATTTTTCCTGCATTACTTTTATACTTTAAGTAGTTTTAAAAATTGTACTTTTAAACTTTTACTGGAGTAAAAAGCTGAAGTCGGTCCTCTAACTTCTACAAAAGTGTTTTTAAACAGCAGGATTTCTACTGGAGGAATAAACAGGAATAGTTTGGACGCCTCTGAGTGGTTGAAAGGTTTCTATGCTCATAAAGACAGATGTGAGGAATTATGAAGAGTTCATAACAGCTGGACAATAGAACGGATAGAAGGTGGGGTCAAGATCATGAGTCAAAAATAGAGACAAAGCTGTAAGAATCCAGCTTTGTCCACCTGATGGACGGAGGACACTCTTTGGAGGACCAATATGTCCACATTTTGGACAAAGAAGACAAATGGTTTGAGAGGAAGGAAGCATCTATGCTAAGAGAGAAAAACCAACCAAAGATTCCAGCTTTCAAAAACCTCCAATGCAGCGATAGAGTTGATTCCTTCCCGCTATCATCGCAGCTCCAACACCTTTACAGGAGAACAGAAGACCTCACCTGTTCATCCAGGCCAACTATTCCCTCTAACGACCCCCCTTTCAGAGACATAGACAGGTATGGGGCATTGCAGGCTAACAAAGAAGCCAAACCACCCCCCTTCCAAAGGGGGGGACCCGTTCATCCGTTTCTATTTGCATGTTTTCTAAACTAAAACCAGGCTTTGTTGGGCTGCTGGATAAAACCTGGAACTAAACGCTATTTCTGACATTTTGGATTGAAAAATCTTCCTGGATGGAAGAGAAACGTCTTCAAACCTGGAAACAAAGTCCAGAGGATTGATTTAACTTTTTGAAACCCAGATTGAGTTAAGTGGACGTTATCATCCTGCGTTAATAGGGATAATGATGAGCATGTTACCTGGTGGGGGACGTGCAGGTTGAAGTCTAATCCACAGACAAACTCTGAGTGATGCTCCACGGTGTCCAGGAGAGGCTGGCTTTGACCAAAGTCCCACAACCTGAAGACGTCCACATCAACCAGGACAAGAGACATGGAGGGAGACAAACCAGTTAGATTTCATCATCACTGGGAGAACTGGGGTCACAGAAAACAGCACAGACTGTCATGCATGCAGGAAGCTCCTTCAGAGCAGGAAACTGGTTTCTTCACCTCTGATCTGACTGGTTTTAATGGGAAGAAGTAGAAAAAAACTAAATTATGACACAATTTTAGGTTTTTTAACCAGACCATGAGCAGGAACTTAGAACCGAGTCAGCGGGATGTTCTGTGACGTTAGCCTGGCTTTAAATACCAGCTGCAATTCAGAGACGTTCTTTAAAAAAGCTCAACTATGAGAAATATACTCAACTTTATTTATAAAACCCTTTAAAACAGCCACAGCTGCCACCAAGTGCTCTACTAATCAGGTCAATTTCAAACTGTATAAAAACAACACAAACGTCTAAGGGAATAAAACAAATATAACGCAAAAACAGGGAGAGTCTCATTCTGTGTTAAAAACCAAAGTTAAAATAGTATAAGACGAGTTTTAACAATAGATGGTAAAAAGGACTGTCTAATTTGGAGGGGGGGGGGGCGACTAAAAAAGCTCTGAGCTTCTGATTGGACATCGGAGCCTCCAGCAGCAGCAGGTCAGCTGACCAGAAGCTGTTGATCAATCGGCATATGTCGGTTCTAAATGGCAGATTTCTCTGAACTGGCGTGCCAGAGGCCATCCAATGGATCCAGGCCAGGATGGGCGTTTTCTGCTCCCTCTGACGTACTCCAGTTAAAAGGCGTGCGGCTGTATCTTGCATCAACTGGAGACGTGCGAGAAGCACTGGCTCACCTCAAAATAACGTGCATCACAGTTATCCAGCTAGGATGCAAGGAAGGCCACGATTGGCCAACTGCCTGACATGATAAAAGCTGGACTGATTTAAGCCGGGCGTTCACTGGGTCATTTTTTACCCTTTTTGGGGCGACTCTCCAGTCGTACGAGAATTTACAGATCAACCCGAGTTTCAGCCTGATGGTGCGTTGTGTAGTGTACAGAGGTTAACGAGGGGCAACCAGCTAACGACCATCGCTCCATCAGGAATCGTAAGGTGGTCATGGACAAATGTCTCAGTGGGCAACAAGGATTCTTCTTCTTCTTCCTCTCAGAGGAAAACCCAGCAGCATGGCGGGGGGGCAATGATTGAAATGGAGTTCTTTCTGTCAAACTGACAGACCGTAGTAGCCACGTTAGCTCAGCCATGTCTTTGTCCAAATACGTCGTCTCCTTTTCTTTTTAGGGCTTTCACTCTAGTGAGCTTCATGTTCCTCTGCTACTGGTTTGGCTTCCAGATAGACGAGTCCCAGTAGCGCCATCTCACTGCGGAGCTGAGTCCCACCTGGTTTTTAGACGTAGAGTGTGAGCAGGTAGATCGCATCAGAGCGTCGGGTCGCACAGTGAGATCAAACATGGTGAGCTGTGAACTATTAAACTCTGCGGTTTGGTCGTACGGCGTTAGCTGTAGCTGCGAGCAACGATTGAAAAAAAATCGCACAGCGTACGCCCGGCTTCACTGATCCCATTAAAAACACCGACCACCTTAAAACCCCAAGTATCAGACGACAGGCTTTAAAAAACCAGTGAAAAGGTTCACAAAGGTTACTGAGACAAAACACCATCACTTCAGGTTTTTCTTCCTTAAGATATAAAGAGTTCAGAGCAACCAGGCTTTAATGTCCTTATGGCGTAGCAGTGTTGGTGTGAAGCAGAAGGCTGGTTTCTTTTTAACAGGTATGTATATCTGACTATCACCTGCATAGAAATGACATGCCGTGCCTTCTTAGGATGGACCCCAGGAAGAAGAGAAGGGGTCCTACCACTGAACCCTGTGGAACCCCATAAGGAAGAGGAGCTAGATTCATAATTCCCAAGGCTCCATTCACTCTCTAAAACCAGTCCAGTGTCGGACCATGAATGGCAACACGGTGGGTTAACCGAGACATGGCTGTCAGATCTAACAGCACAAAAACTCTATTAACAAAACTCTACAGACTGAAAAACACGGGGGGGGCTTAGAAGACCCGGACGGAGAGATGCGAGGAAGAACATCGAAAAAGCAAAGTTCAGAAGAATAAAGATGACGAAGGAGCGCCAATAAAGCAGCAGCAGCCAATCAGGCTAATTGAAAGACTGCTTCTCTTCCTGTGTGTTTTTTTTTGGGGGGGGGGGACCTGACGCAGCAAACACTCCCTCCAGACTCATCCACTTTGCAAATGTAATGAAATCATTTCAGGAGAGGATGGAGGCCTGGCTGGTCTGGCTCCATTAGGCCCCGTATTAATACTGAAACCACCACGCACACACGGACCCACACCCGTGCTCCAATAAGTAATGAGTGTGTAGGGAGAGTGGAGCACTGAGAGGTTTTATTCACCGAGGGATTGAGCCGTTTGTCTAAATCACAGCAGCTTTCTGTAGCTCAGCAACTTCTTCACCAGTTCTGAGTATAAAAAAAAGCCAAATCCTTTAAATCCTCCTAATTTAAGACACCATGTGGTTAAACAGGCCGCACTGAAAGAAATCAATACTTTAAGTCAAAAGGTTATTATCATTTCATGAGTCTGAGTTTAATCAGCAGTTTAATAAGGAGCACAGGAAGCGGTTAGGATGCGGTAGAGCCGGCCGTCTAACCCCCGCTGAGGGATAACATGGGGGCCTCTGACACTAACTGGTCTGCATACTTATTAACTAAAGTGCAGAGCGATTCTGCGCGGCTTAATGATTGCAGTGGCCATAAAATATCTCGTCTAAAACAAATGCATTTCTGTCACAGAGTCGTTGCGGTCATTAGAGGCAGCAGGAATAATCTGCAGCTGAGAGGCACTGCAGCACTGACTGCTGTCATCAGCCAGCAACAACCGCTGATTAACTGATCACTGCGACGGAGGCGGGACTTATTTCCTCATCCATCATTCGTCGGGATCTCCTGGGTGATTCCCGGGCTTCCAGGGCCAGGAGGGGTTCACTTCATTCAAGGAGCTCTGAGGTTGGAAGGTGTAACCAAGGCCAAGTCCCTCACCAGACTTAGAAAGTCGTTTAGTGGTTCTTACAGAAGAAGGATGCTTCTTTATTGGATCAGACTTAATCGGTTCCTGATAATGAGACATAGAAGAATAGCTGTACTCACATCAAAATGTAACCACCGAGATCAACCAACCATCCAACCAAGCAACCGACCATCCAACCATTCAACCAACCAAGCACCCATCCAACCAAACAACCAACCATCCTATCAACCATTCAACCAAACAACCGACCATCCAACCATTCAACCAACCAAGCACCCATCCAACCAAACAACCAACCATCCAATCAACCATTCAACCAACCAACCAACCAACCATCCATCATCCAACCAACCAAGCACCTATCCAACCAACCAAGCACCCATCCAACCGACCATCCAACCAACAACCAACCATCCAATCAACCATTCAACCAAGCACCCATCCAACCAACCAAGCACCCATCCAACCAACCAACCAACCAACCAAGCACCCATCCAACCAACCAAGCACCCATCCAACCAACCAAGCACCCATCCAACCAACCAAGCACCCATCCAACCAACCAACCAACCAACCAACCAACCAACCAACCAACCAAGCACCCATCCAACCAACCAACCAAGCACCCATCCAACCAACCAAGCACCCATCCAACCAACCAACCAAGCACCCATCCAACCAACCAACCAAGCACCCATCCAACCAACCAACCAACCAACCAAGCACTCATCCAACCATTCAACCAACCAACCAACCAACCAACCAACCAACCAACCATCCAACCAAGCACCTATCCAACCAACCAAGCACCCATCCAACCAACCAACCAACCAAGCACCCATCCAACCATTCAACCAACCAACCATCCAACCAACCAACCAAGCACCTATCCAACCAACCAAGCACCCATCCAACCAACCAACAAAGCACCCATCCAACCAACCAAGCACCCATCCAACCAACCAACCAACCAACCAACCATTCAACCAAGCACCTATCCAACCAACCAACCAACCAACCAACCATCCAACCAACCATTCAACCAAGCACCTATCCAACCAACCAACCATCCAACCAACCATTCAACCAAGCACCTATCCAACCAACCAACCAACCAACCAACCAACCAACCAACCAACCAACCAACAAACCAACCAACCATTCAACCAAGCACCTATCCAACCAACCAACCAACCAACCATTCAACCAAGCACCTATCCAACCAACCAACCAACCAACCAACCAACCATCCAACCAACCATTCAACCAAGCACCTATCCAACCAACCAACCAACCATCCAACCAACCATTCAACCAAGCACCTATCCAACCAACCAACCAACCATCAAACCAACCATTCAACCAAGCACCTATCCAACCATCCAACCAACCAACCAAGCACCCATCCAACCATTCAACCAACCAACCAACCATCCAACCAACCAACCAAGCACCTATCCAACCAACCAAGCACCCATCCAACCAACCAACCAAGCACCCATCCAACCAACCAAGCACCCATCCAACCATTCAACCAACCAACCAACCAACCAACCAACCAACCAACCAACCATCCAACCAACCATTCAACCAAGCACCTATCCAACCAACCAACCAACCAACCAACCAACCAACCATCCAACCATCAAACCAACCATTCAACCAAGCACCTATCCAACCATCCAACCAACCAACCAACCAAGCACCTATCCAACCAACCAAGCACCCATCCAACCAACCAAGCACCCATCCAACCATTCAACCAACCAACCAACCATCCAACCAACCAACCAAGCACCTATCCAACCAACCAAGCATCCATCCAACCAACCAACCAAGCACCCATCCAACCAACCAAGCACCCATCCAACCAACCAACCAACCAACCAACCAACCAACCAACCAAGCACCTATCCAACCAACCAAGCATCCATCCAACCAACCAACCAACCA